AGTAATATCTGCTGACCTTCGAAGAAAACAAAAATCTTTCCCTAAAAAAACCACAAGTAAACTTGCCAAAATTAGATTCAATCTCAAATTCAACCTAACTCGATCACTCGCTATGGGTGAGTTCATAGGTGTTAAATATCTATTCAAAATCTATTATGATGATCCAAAGTAAAAGAATTTGTACTTAATTGGATTGCATCAGAGTTAAGTCAGGTGAAGTAAAGTAACAAAATTAAAACTAATTAATTTTTTAAAATTTAAAATTTTGATTAATTATGTTTTTAATTTTAATTTTTAAATATAAGATAAAATTAAATATTATAAAATAATTATTATTTATTAAATTATTAATATTAATATTAATTTAATAAATTTTTAAAATTAAATAAATAATTTATTTATTTTTGAAAAAAATAGAGAAAATACTAAAATTTTTTAATTTTAATTTTAACATTTTAAAAAATTAAATTGTATGCATTCAACTCCTCATCTTAATAAGTTTGAAGTTTTTTAATTTCTTATCTTATACTATAAAATTTTTAATCTTGAACAGTTTAAAGATTTTAACTCCTAGATTAATAGAATCATTAATTATCCATTAAAATGATAATAAAATATTTATAGAGTAAGTTCTTTAATATTAAAAATGTAAAAATGTTAGTTTCAAAAGTTTAAAAATTAAAAAAATTAGTAGATGATCTTACCACATACATCAAAATAATATTAGACATTATAATAAAATTGAGTGATTAGCTTAATCTAAAAAAAAATCCAATTGAGATTAAAGAGAATTTTTTGTTGCATTCTTCTAATTCTTGGACTTTTTATTTTAATAAGAAATTTTCTTTAATCTCCATCAAAAAAAAATTTTCGAATTGAGCTAATAACTTGATTTGATTATAAATATCTAATATTGTTTTAGTATGTATGAAAAAATTATTTATTAATTTTTTTAATTTATTATTTTTTAAAATTGTTAAACTTTTAAAAGCAAATTATTATATTTTTAACTTTTAAAAATTGAGCCTATAAATATTTTCTTTCAACTTTAACAAGAATTAATAAATTTTGTTAGTTTAAGAACTAAAATCTTTATCCTTTTAAATTTAAGAGCTTAATCAATTAGGTAAGGGCTACACGCAAATTTTAATCCAAAACCCATAGGTGCCATTGCCTGTTTCCCAAAAAAAAAAAAAACCATAAGTGGCTCATGGATCTACCTTTCAAGTCAAAATTCAAAATAACTCAACCCAATAAATCCAGAATCTGTGCCAAGTCTAATTGCAAGCCTCAAACCAGAAACCCTCAAAAAAGTCTTCGAAAAAAATCGTCCAAAATAAACAGTTCTCCAAAACCCCCTTTTTGTTCCCAATGGCTGTGGCCGTCTGGTGACAATCGGTGAAGATAATGAGATCCGAGAGATGATCGGCAAAGATGGCGATGAGATCAAAGTCAGGGGACTAGAGAGAGGCTGACAGTTGGAGAAAAGAAGTTCCTTATTTTTGTGTCGCTAAGAAGATTCTTATTTTTTGTGTGGCTACCCCCTCTGGCCTTGTCTGAATTTCCTCTGCTGGGTTTTTTTAGGTATTGTTTGGATTGAAGGTGTCGGACGGAGAGGGAGGGGAAGGGATGGGGACGGATGGCAAGGGAGGGGGAGTGAGGGAGAGCTGTCTCCTTTCTTCTGTTTGGGTTTTCAAAGAGGCAGAGGGGGAGGGAGATGGACTGATTCGGACTCCCTCCAACCCCCTTCGAATATGCAGATTTGCAATCCGTCCGATTTGGGGGGTTTGGGAAGGATTTGAGTGGCTGTTTACATTAAGCTAAATGTAATTACAAAATTAACCTTAATTTTTTTATTTTATCCTTCTCCATTACAAGCTTAAAGGGTAAATTTGTAAATTTAAAATTAATTTAAATTATTCCTTTCCTTCCCTTCCTTTTACTTTAATTATCCAAACATAAAATAATACAATTTTTCCCTTCCCTTTCCCTTCGTCATTTTTATTTATCCAAACAAAATTAACACAAATCATTTCCTTCTATTTTCTTCCCTTCCCTTTCTTTTCCTCCCCCTCCATTTCCTTTTATTTTCCTCCATTCCCCTCCCTTCCCTTCCCTTTACTATTTTCTATCCAAACAAGGTGTTAGGGTTTGCAAAAGCGGCTGTGGATCCCATCCTTGAAGAATGGACTGTGGTCACTAGTCATGGGATATGTTTGGTGGGCTGTCGGAGTGATATCACCGACAAGGTTTTTGTTGCAGAATCTTATAGTTACTGATGAGAGATCCATTGGTCCTTAAAATCTCTGCTCACTATACTCAAAAAGCTACCGGAGCCGACGGAGTGGATATTCAAGACTAATACGAACAAAAAATACGTGTGTATTGGATGAATTTACTGAAGAAATGCTCCTCTGAAATTTAAATAATATAAATTAATTTTCATATTACTATTTTTAACTATACAGACATGTTCTTTGTCAAGAAGGCATTCATTTAACCGAAAAATCTTCTCACGTTGGTGATCTTTGGTCGGTGATATTAGGTAATCTAGTAGTGTTTAGTCCTAAGTTTAAGGACTAAAGATGTTCAAAATTAAAATTTCAGGACTAAAAATGGCATTTAACATAAAAAGAAATATATTTTATGCTTGTTGATTAGCCCCTCTACCCAACTTTCAATTGAAAATCAGTCCCTTGACTTATTGCACTTGCAAATCAACCAATATACTTATCGATATAGATGATATCAAGCAACCATCGGCCTCCTTTAATTGTTCACTCAACTTTACAATTTGGTTCAAATTGATCGTTCAACTTTTTCTCTACCTTTTTTATCCTTAACTCAAAATTTCCTTTTCAATATCAATTTTTTTCAAAGAAAGAAATTAAGTGGCAATTTTGAAACTTTCTAATTTTTTGCTATTATGGACACTTCTTTCATGAAATTTCAAGAATTAATTAAGCTATCTTAGAGTTAAAAAAATCATTGTGGCATAATCTAGTCACCAAATCTACATCTAGATCAATTTAGTTCATTCTTCCTTGCCCTGAGACAAGAGAAGGACGAAGGGAGGACAAGAGGCCAATACAGGAAGGGAGGAAGACATTGTTGGCAACTAAGAAGGGAGGGAGAACGGAGGAAGGTAAATTGATGAGAGAGAAGTGATATGGGGAAGAAAAGAAGATAAGGGAGGCGTTATTTGGCCCCAAAAAACGGTTCCATGTAAGATTAAAAAGGTTATTTTTGCTATGTCATATCCTAAACTACTTAACTGAATGAATCATAAATGGAGGGGCCAAATCGATGAGTTGAGAAACTAAAAAAGTTGAGGGACCAATTTAGTATATATTTGTAAGGTTAGGGGACTAAAAGTTATTTAAACAAAAAAGGGAAAAATTAACGGCCAAACTGAGGTGAACAGCCAAAGGAAGCTAAAGATTGCCTATCCATTATCTATAATAGGGGATAGTTTGCCCAAATTCGATAAGAACAAAGGTTTCTTTGTCAGTGAAATAAGTTGATGGGCTGATTTTAAACTGGAAGCCAAGTAAAGGGGCTAATTTTCAAAATTTGCCTAAAAATATTTCTGTGTATGCATCTTTAGCTACAACACCACCTTGGGCTTAAAAAAAAAAAAAAATCCGTGGTGTGTGATACTTATCAATCATAACTTATATGTATATTTTTTTAACAACAACAATTTTTGAGAAATGGGGAAGGCGAATGGAAATGGGACCAAAAACCCTCAAACTTTGGCTGAGTGAGTGGTAAGTAATACCATTTCCACCCACCCCATAAGTTAGGTTCATCATCACTTATATTTTTTAAGTAACTTAGCAGCTTCCATTTTAATGTGTCCTTCAACCATTCTCATATAAACACATTATGCGTGCTGAGCAACAATACTATTCAAGGTATTTTAATTTCTTCCCCAAGGGAATGGAGTTATATGCTTAAGAAAAAGCAGGGATCAAGGCGCTCCCTAGCAAATTAAAAGAACAATTTCATTATAAAGGGCTGTATACAATTAGGACGAGATGATCCTAGAAGAGCCATGCACTCCCTCAAAGCGGCTCTTGCTATCACAGTGGTTTCCTTCTTATACCATGACAACAAAGTCTACAACAGATTTCAGTGGAATGGAATATGTAGTATTTGAATTCATAGCAGGTAAGTTCCATTCAATCTGAGTCTATATATAGCTTCTGAAAGAAAATCAAGTCTTGCTACTAACCTCTTTTTTTTTTTTTTTTGGGTTGATAGTCTTAAAGGGGGTACTCTAAGCAAGGTTCTAAACATGGGGTTTGCATCATTCCTTGGTGGTGCACTAGCATCTGGAGAAAATCAATTCGCAATCCATGTAGTTCACAAGCATGTTGGACGGTACTTTGGAAGGACAACAAATAATCCTGTCATTGGACTCTGTCTTCATAATATTTATGTCTTCATAATATGTATATTTAGCTAAGCGCTAACTTCCTTTTCTAAAGAAAAGTATACATATTTACTTGCTTAAAAAGTTATCTATTTTGAACCAACTCAACGGGCCAACTAATTCACCATCAAGCCTAAAAAACTTGGGTTCAAGTGGTTGAGAATTTCAACTCTCACCAATTACTTGAAAAATTACCTCTTCTTCAAATTTCTCATGTTCAAAGAATAATGATAATAATAAAGTTACCCATTTTTGTGATTATAAAAGCAAAGAAAACTAAAACTTTTTACTTAATTCTTCTTCATGAATTGCTTTCTGTAGCTGCAGGAGCTACCTTCAAAAAATTTTTCCCACATATCAGGCCAAGATATGAATATGGGGTGAAGATATTTAAGTTGAAGTTTTGCATAGTTGCTGTTTCTGGGTCCAGAGAACTGGATAATCTTCATCTAGCCGTGCAAAAAGACTGGAAACAATATTAATAGGGAGTGCAATTTGTAGTATTATATCTGTTTTTATTTGTCCAGTATGGGCTGGTGAAGATCTTCACAATTCGGTGGCTTCCAATCTTGAAAAACTTTCGAAGTACTTAGAAGGTTGAGCATATGGTTCTTTTGTAACTATTCTTAATCAAATCGTAATTTTCTAATTTTATAAGTTTTTAAATTCGAATAACCTAATTATATATACAGGATTCAGTGATGTATACTTCGGGCGTTGACATATTGGAATGGCTTCAGAGACCAAGAAAGATGCATCATTTCTTCAAGAGTACAAATCCGTCTTCAATTCAAAAGTGAAAGAAGAATCTTTGGTGAGTTTCAGTACTCTCTCTTTACACTAAAAAAACCTGCAAAGGCAAATAATCAATTAATTTAGCTGAATTTAAGTACTAAAACCTTAAGCATGGTGCATGATGTTTTTTCTTATGAAAAATTATTAATACATATTTAGTTTAATGCACCTTTTAACACTTATTTCAATTTAACTATTAAAATATAATAAAATATAATTAATTCAATCTGTTCTTGTATTTTGTATGTATAGTTATATATTTAAATTTATTTACTTTTGATTTTAAACTAAAAAATACTAATTTTTTTAATAATTATGTTCTGCAATATATTAAAACGAAATATATATCGATTAGTATTCTTTTGCTGATATAATTAACTGAACTAAATCTGCAGGCAAATTTTGCTGTGTGGGAACCTGTTTGGTCACCCCTGGAAACAGTACTTGAAAATTGGAGATCTAGCTCGGGATGGTGCCTGCTTGATTGAAGCTATTAATCGCCAAATAAACTCTGATATCCAAGTAACACTTCATATTCTTGAAACATCTAATTCAACTCTCAAATTTCCAACAAACTTTAGGCCCCTGAAATAATTTGAAATTTAGATGGCAAATAAGCCTCTTCTAATGAGACTTAGATGGCAAATCTGAGTATACAAGCAATCCTCTTCTCGTTGATTCCATCCATTTTTTCTTTTTCTTTTCTAATTTTTTAAATTAAGACAAAGAAAAGGGTACACTCAGGCCTCGGCAAATCCATTCCTCTTTAGACTAAACCAAATATATTCAAAGAAGATGAAAACGTTAGTCAATCATAGTTAATTAACACTTCACACCACATCAATGAAATAATTAAACATTTACTAACATTTTTCATAACTTTTGGAAGATTTGTTATCATTTCAAGGTTTCAGTAGAGGCTATTTGCTAATGAAAATAATTTTTGGGATTACTCGCCTAATATTCTTACTTTTAAAGAAATTTCTTTCAAAATCCATTTACTTCTGAAGCCTAATTTACTTTGCTAATTTATGTTCTGTACCATTGTAGCCATCTCCTGAATTTCAAAGCAAAATTCAAGAATCGTGCAAAAGGATGAGTGTGCAAAGGGGCAAGGCACTAAGAGAACTAGCCATTGCAATTCAAACAATGACAGAGCCATCTTCATCCACTCAAACCTATCTAAATAGCTCCAAAGCGGCCATGAGGGGCTTCAAAACCGCTCTTAAAGGTGTCTCCTTCAGGATTGCAGACCTCCTTGCAATCTTACCAGCTGCCACAGTTGCTTCGGTCCTAATAATAGAAAAGAGAAAGAGGAGATTTTATGAAAATAATACACTTGTTTGTTTATTATTTGTGAGAAAACTTTACAATTTATGGATGTACAAATTGAAGAAATAAGGAAAGATTATACAAATTAATAAGTGGAAAGGGAAAATATGAGAGAAATAAGGCATGAATACAGGGGATTAATCAATCTTTATACAGTTGTGTCTGAACACATCATCCATGAATCAATTTGCACAATTTTACCATCTGTTAATCTTCAGCTAATCTTCTGCTAATCTTCTCCTTTAATGCAGTCCAGCTGTTGCGCAATTTTTGTCATCTGCTGCGCAATTTTTGCCATCTGCTGATCTTTTCCTTTGATGCAATCCAACTGTCCTCTTGTTAAGGAAACAGATGTTCTTCTGCTTTGCAGCAGCTGTCCTTTTGTTTTAATACTAATTGAAATCGTTAATTGTGTTGAGAAGTTCTCGACGTCAGTCCATGAACTTTCCAAGCCAGCGCATTTCAGGATTTTGGAACCTACTGCAAATCAATTCAAGCGATTCTTTCCCGTAAACCCGGTTCCAAATCGTGAGACCAATGTCGCTAAAATCATCCTTATACAGTTGACACCATGCCAGATAAATAAGAGCATGTATAATAGTGAACGATAAAACAATCGTTTTAGCGTCATATTATCATAATTAATATTATTTTATATAAACTCATATTTTTTTTATATATTCAACCTTCAAATAAAATATCGACTAAAACACTTTTTTTTAAATATTCTACAAAACATGATACTTCCTTAAAATTCATGCCAATATTATTCTATGAGTTTTTTTAACTTATATGTTAAGAATATAATTAATGTATTTTTTAATCATTAAATTACATAAAAATAAAATTTAACCTTAATTTTATCAACTAATCAATTAACTTAATTCTTGTGGCATTAGTGCTAAATCTAATACTCATTTTTTTGTTTTTTCTTATAACTTGATAATTAAAAAATATATTAATTACATTTTTAACCTGAGTGTATATACATTAAACTAATCCTTATTTTATTCTACTCACATTTTATACAGTTGAATAACAAAATTTGAGTTGAAAAATAAAAAAAATAAATAAAAAAGGAGACTACTTGTGGCTGCACGGCTTATGCCGTTAGATCAACAAAAGCTGCAGCGCCTGACTGAAGGGGCTAAAAAATTTAAAACAGATGAAGTTAAAACTTTAAGAAATATTTATAAAGAGACCTTGCTCATATAAAAACATCATTTCTTAAAATTTTTTAATAAAAAATATTATTTTTTGAATTAATTAAAATTATTATCTTTTAAAAATTTTTAATTAAAAATATTATCATTTTAATTTTAGTATTTAAAAATTAATTAAATTTTAAAGCTAAATTAACAAATGGATAACTCACCTAAATTGCTGAAGGGTAAAAAGAAAAAAGAAAAAAACAAAAGAGTAGCTGCTGAGTTGGACAGTTAAATTGAAATTTAAACAATACAACGTCGACGCTTCTGTACTAAATTCACTCGACACGGATTCCAAAGTCTTAACGTGGAGTGTCGACGCCAACCACGCTTGTGTGGGCACCCAACTGGTGCCCTGTTTTTTCTTCAATGGTAAAATAGCCCATCTGTGTCCTTCCTTTTCTAGTTTCTGAACACTTTAATACTTGAACTTCAAATTCATTTAGATCCATGATTGTAACTTTTCTTCTTGCAACATAGTTCCTCAATTTTCAAGACATTTTCACTTAATGCAAAACTTTTATTTTTTTAGCATTCAAGTCCTTTTTTAACAATAAATGAAAATTATATAAAATCAATGAAAAATCATAAATAGGGTATTAAACTTGTAAGAATTTGTAAACAAGAATCTTATATAACTGAAAACACCATATTTATAAAAAGAGGAATAACCAGAAATTGTCATTCATTCTGCTCTTGAAATACATAAAAAGATATAGGAAAAATCGATTTACATAACAAAAAGACTATTAAACAATTAAGTTTACAAAAACCAACAAGATACACCATATAGACTAATTAAAACTAATCTGTCATTTAAATATATTATATGAACCATTCTAAATAAAAGATTTGTTTAACGCACTATACTAAATTTTTCACAACTATATTAACAAAAAAACAACAATTCTAAGAAATCATCAAGCCTTGTCTATGTTTTAAAATTTTGACTTCCTTATGTCAAGCATTTTGTTACATGTGAGAGAAGTTGTCCATATACAGAGTAAGATGGTTCACTTTGAAATGAAATGAATTACAAGTTCCAGTAATTTGAACTTGAATTTCTATCAATTAGGTTTTTTCTTTTTCTTTTTTTCTTTTTTCTTTCCAAACCTGAGCTTTAACAATCAGATTTGTTGTCTGACATAAAAAGAAAGAAAGAAAGTAAATACATTTCCTAACACTGCTTCCGTCTAACACTGAACCCATGTGATTTAGAACGGCTGTAGGAGCCACCCTCATGTTCCACTAACTTATCTTGTTACCTCATTATCACAAACATTGAAACACAATTACCAAAGTACTTACTGATGCTTAACCTCGTATACCATCATGAGTTAATCCCTGTAAAAGTCGTAACTAAACTAATTTCTTATGTACAAAAAAAAAAAAAAAAAAGACGTTGATGCCAACAGTAGCTTCAACATTGAAAAATCTAACTTGTCAAGCACATTATTTTTACAGAGAATGTTGAACAAGATTATAATTTGTACAAAGATTTGATATATTTACTCGTAAGACATTGAATAGATGCATATGGGAAGACGCGTACCTTCACGCCTACACTGACATGGCCCAAAATGGCAGTAAAAATCCTATAAACAAATCAAACCTTGAAATTGAACATAGATCAGAAAAAGCAACAACCTGCGCAATCAAGCTTCACCTGATGTGAATTATCAATGACATACAATAAAGAGCAGCTTACTTTTTACTGTATTAATTATTTTGGGAACCATCTTATCTATTGACATGTAACTACGGGAAAAAGAAAAAAAAAACAAAATTTTTACTATAATTCCTAGATGCTTGTGCTCCAGAAATGGATCTACTGTTAATTTAAATAAAACAAACCTTAAGCTAAGTAAAACATGATGGGCATTTCCTACTTACAGTGCTTGACTACCATACACAGAAGGAATGACGGCGAAGATTTGTTCATCTAATTACCAGCCATAGATAGGATTTTCCACTTGCGGAGGTAGGAGGCACAGGTCTTTACAGTGTTGCTTGTCATAATCCCGAGTCCCAGGTATGGCTCCAGTACAGAGTCTAAGGAACTCATTCCCTGTCAGACAATAGTGGGCAAATGCTAACCCCCCATCAACCACCTTTGAAAGGCTTGGCGTTGAAATTGACTTTGCAATCATCTTTCCATTATGTTTCTTCAAACCTGAAACATTATTTTCATTATTCATGACCCGGTCAAGGTCTGAATATTCCATAAATCTCTGAGTGGCAGCTTCCCATGAAAGGTTATATCTTTGCTCAGGAGTAAGAGGCAGAGGCTCATTCTCCAATGCTTCCTTCACCTTGGCAACAAAGTCTTCAGATGACTTGTAGGTCAGACAGTTGGGAAATGACCTGAAGAAGTCATTAGATGGATGATCTGCACATACTACAAATTTTCCCATGGCAAGGGCTTCTGCAGTAGCTGTGCAGAGCACATCACTTACACTAGGATTTATGAAGACTTTGTACCTTTAAGCAAACAAGAAACAATTAGATGGAAGAAAAGAAACTGGAAAATAGATAGAAACTAAGCTGATGTAACAATTAGTGTAGTAGATGGAAGAATAAACAAATTTATATTTACTGTACCAGTAGAGAAGTTCACCATTGTGATAGAAATTTAAAGATTCTGTCTAAACATATTTCACAAATGATTTAACAGTTTAGAAAAGATTCAAATAAGTTTCTCCTTTCAGCAAATGCTCAGATGAAACCGATGAAGTCTTTAAAAGAAGGGGTTCACACAGGATTCTTACCCATGGAGTGAATCATCTGTATGGTCTCGTCCTTTTAAAAAATTAAGATTCAAGTCCAAACTCTTAGCAGCAATCTGGACTTCATTTGCATCCTCGCCATTTCCAAAGACATCTAGCTTGAAACCATCAAGATCATTCTTGTGCTTCGCTAGCAAATCTATCAACTCTCTGTACCCCTTTGCCCAGACCATCTTGCCCAAAAAGTAGGCTCCTTTGGAGAAGGCTTGATTACTGTGCTCCCTTTCTGCAGCAACTGTCTCACCAATTTTCAAGAACTTTGGATTCACACCATGGACATTGCAAACAGTGGACTTGGGAAGATCTTGTGTTGCAGCAGAAAGGCGAAGAACCTAGATAGCCAAAACAACCAACTTAGCTCATGCAAGGTCTAAAAAAAACACCTTTTTTGGCCAAAAAAAAAAAAAAACCACTTCTGACACATAATTTTCAAAAACAAATCTACAACACAGTAAAAACAAAATGCCAAAAATGTCAACAATCATACAAAATTTGACATATACCTTGTGGCAATAAGCTCTGGTGACTATATTATTTATGTGCTTCACAAGGAAAGCTTGAAGTGCCCCATTCTTCTCCCTCTTGATATATTCCAAATAGTTTGTGTGTACAATACCAACAACATGGTTAAATTTATCAGTCCAACGTTTACCATGGTGGTACCAGTTCAGGTGTTCTGGCTCTTCCAGAATAGCAATGTCAGCATCCTTCGAGGGAATAAATTGAGAAGTATCTCCAGCAGGTATTATGCTCCGCCTTGCTTTTGAAAACTTAAGACACAGTGAGAGTATGATTGTCATTTATTGAGCCTAGTTAATCATAAAAAGTCAGCACAATTTAATGCATCAAAGGGCTACCTTTCCAGGATAAAATGAAATCTTAAAATCAGCCTTAAAACCAATCCTTTCCTCAAGCCAGTTACGTATATAACTTTCCTGCTCTTCTGGTGAACTAAATGTGACATCGTTAGGATATACCAGTTCTTGATCAGATTTGCAGAGCCAAGGAACCAAGAGAGTAACTTTTTGTTTTTGAGACTTTGCCAAGTATGCTGCCCGAAAAAGTGGATTTACTGCAGTTCCAGTCATCCATGGAAGGCTTGCAGTTGTAACAATGGCGACATGCCTTTTCCTGTCTGACGCATCATTCTTTTTGAAGTATGTCCAAAAGCCACCCTCATAAGAATGCCCTGTGCTTTGAAGCACACTGGCTATCCTTAAATCCAATTCATCATTTACGTTGTCATTTTCAATAACAGGGGGTTCACCATCAACTAGGGATCGCAGAACAAGTTGATTCTTCCGTTTGCTACACAAATTCTCCACTATCTTGTCACATATATCTGGGATGGGAAGACATGTAAAACACATTTAAAACACTAATTAAACTTCCAAGCATCTGGACCAAACATAGAGGACACTCAACCATGCAAAGAAATCAAGTGTTTTTTCAAACTGAAATATAATCCAGTAGAACAAAACACCTGCGTGTTGACATCAGTCAGGTGAAGCTTTTACAGAATATTTCATAAATTTCCAATTGACAGAAGGTGAAATAAGATCTAAGTTACAATCGGTATAAGAATAAGGAGAATGGATGATAAAAAAAATCTTCAAAATGCAATGGATATAATTACAAGATTAGTATAAGACAAAGGATCACAATCAGTATGGAATCTCAAAGGCACGTTGGATAAGCAATCATGTCTCTCTGCATTTACAAGATTAAAAGGACCAGCAAGAGGGAGACAGAGGGAATACAGCTACTTACCTCTCCTCACACCAAGTTGATCCAGAAAAGGTCCAGACTGCTTAACAAAATATGCTAAAAGTTCTGGTACATCCAGTGGTGGTACATCCTGTAATCAGAAGGAAAGAATGCATTCAGTACAGTTCTTCTATTTTACCAACATCTCAAAGAATCAATCCATTCTAACACTGAAATATGACACTATGAAAATCCAATGCCACATTCAGCTTCTTATCTTTACAAGATTCATAGAACAAAGTAGGGCAATTCTAATAGTCCGGTTCTGGTCAGGATTAATGCTTTATTGGGCTGAGTCTTTAGCCATAAATAATCTATGTCTGTTAAAGCAAAATAAGCATAACCTGGAGGCCAAGCATAGCATG